GCGGAGGGGGGGGGGGCACCGATCGGCACCCCATACACGCGATCCGCCGGCTCTAAAGCCGGCGGATCGCTTGTATGGTATCAGGCATCGCTGCCTGTTTTTAAAAAACGGCAATTTCCCGCTCACGCGCGCCGAGCGGCGCGCGCGAGGGGGCGTGTCTGAGCGGACGTCTAGAGACGCCCGCTCAGATCTAGAGAGCTCCGGGCCGGCCGTTTTTCTACTTCGGCCGGCCCGGAGGCAGTTAAAGAGCCCATCTGTTCAAAAGTCACCCCAGCAGAGGAATTGTGCAATCTATAACCAGGCTGTGTTTCCATAACCCCTAAATATAGTGCAGTGATATACAAAACAGATCTCACGCTGCTATGAACTACCATCCCAGCATGCCTTGCCGGCACGGTACAGCAGTACAAGTTTGCTCTATAGGCAAATAGTCAGAAATGGTGGGACGACTACCGCTTACCGTTTTCGTAAGGCATTCAGTCTCACTTACATCACCTACTTTTGACACTGGTTTTGAACAGGGATTTGCATATTTGATATGATATACACACAAATTTGTTTCAGACCAGAAACTCAAAAGGTGTACAAAAAAAAAAGTTTTTATGCCAAAATTGCAAAGGTCTGAAAAAGAAATAACAAAATCACACTAAATTCAGACAAAGAAAAGAAAAGCAAACTCCCCTCACATAACATAAGCTGTTCTTGTAACAAACATTTTCAAGTCATCCTGGCAATACAATTTAAATATATATAAATAAAACAGGGAAAGCTATTCTAGGATTTAGACTCACAACTCTTAGTGCTTCCGATGCAGGTTTCAGTAAAAATGCTTAGAGCAGTATAACTTACCCTATATGTGTGACTGCTTCCCTGTTTTCACATTCAGTAGTCCAGATTGCTATTTTATCTCCTTTTGCTCTAACATTTACAACAGCTCCACATACATCATCACTGGAGTCATCAAATGATTCTCCAATAAGGCACATGAGCTGAAAAAGGAAAATGAAGATTTGTAAATGACGCACCCTCAAGTAACATAATTAAAAGTTCCTCTCTCCACACAATGCCCAGTCAGCCCGTTATCTTTTATATCTTGGATACTCGAAATATGGGAGAACTCGCTTTTATTGATCGTTTCTGTCCACATGGGAGTTTTCAGAGTTTCCTTCTACCTTCTAGCTTGGTATGTTTTGGCTCTTCTAGTGGATTCTCCATAAGAGATATTAAATCTGAAATCCAACAGACAGAATAGGATCCCCTCAAACCGTCAGTCGGTTTAACTGTCTGGATCCTAACAAAATGCTAAACTATCAGGGGACTGACCATTTAATCTCACATTTTTTTAGCCCATAGTTTATAAAGAATATATGGATGTTGTAAAGGTTTCCTACAGCTTCTGAGACAAGGGTGTGGCCAATACATAAAAACACACAAATATAAAGCCATATATAATAATGGAGCTGGCTGCATCCATGCACCCTAATCTTTTTTGGTATGAATGGATTTACTCAAACGGCTTGAACCATCTGCATTATCATTGACAGTGTTGATAGATAAAGTAGGTCCTTCACAAATCTTGTAGCCAGACCTGTTCTTCTACCATTTGCTTTAGGAGGATAGTATCAGTGAAATCCAAATAACTTTTCTGGATTTACTTTCTTAGTCCTCCAGTTATAGTAAGTGTTTAAGAAAGCGTGAAATGTTTGAAAAGAACTTAACTCTATGAAAATTGGCTACTTGCATTATTCACACAAATGCTGCGCTTGCAGATAACAGATGAGATATAATTAAAGAGCTAAAACCTTTTATAACAAATATCAGACCAACTGAAATAAGAAAACCATGGAAAGTACTGGCCTCCAAAATACAGGGAGCACAATTCTAGAAATATAAACTTTAGTTTAAGTAAAGCTCTGGATAGCCCCCACGTCACCTTGCCACTGGTCCTTAAATGTCATAGCAAGCTTTACCGACATCAGAAAAACGCAGGATGTTCTGTCCCACAAGAACGATGTTCTGTCCCACAAGAACGGAAGTCACTGTATGCATAATAGAGCTTCTAAGACCTTTAAATGTTTTGCAGCTTTACAGTCCAGTTAGCAATTCCCAATGCCAACTGTAGTCGGGGAAGTGTTTGTTAAATGAACCTTTTTAAAAAGTTACCGAGAACAATTATAGAAAATACAAGTGTAAACCTTTCCGGAAAACTCCATAACAGAAAATACAAGTGTAAACCTTTCCAGGAAACTCCATAACAGAAAATACAAGTGTAAACCTTTCCAGAAAACTCCATAACAGAAAATACAAGTGTAAACCTTTCCCAGAAAATACAAGTGTAAACCTTTCCAGAAAACTCCATAACAGAAAAGTGTAAACCTTTCCCGAAAACTCCGTAACAGAAAATACAAGTGTAAACCTTTCCCGAAAACTCCTAAACAGGAAATACAGGTCTAAACCTTTCCAGAAAACACAAGTGTAAACATTTCCGGAAAACTCCATAACAATAGTGATACTATATTGTGATTTTACTGCTATAAGCAGTAACTCCACCTAGAGTCACCTGGGTCCAATCATTCATATTTGCCATAAAAAAAGGTTTGAAAAAGGAACACTTAGTCATATTACCCGTTAAGAAAAACCAACAAACCTACCGTCTCTAACCAAAAGCGGTCAAGGTCATTCCTCCTTTGCTGCTTAGTAAGCGTAATTAGCCATCTTCCCCCACGCTTATTTTTTTCATCTTCCCACATGGGCTCAACACCATCCTGTTAAAGTACAGTTCTGTTAATACAAAAATCCTTTTACAAATGTTAGGACACAGAGATTAAGCACTTACCTTAAAGAGTGAATAGTCACAACCTGACATTAAGTTACTAGACAACTGGATATGATTGTAAAGCCTAAAGGAAAGAAAAAATATATATATATTAAAAACATTTTAGGTAACTTCTTAAAAGATATGTCTCATACTAGAATATACACAAAAAACAATTGCAGCCCTAATGAGAAGAGCCAGATCCTTAAGGTTCTGTGGCCGACTTTACATACCTGGCTGCTACCAACAGAATTGTACCATGCGGTGGCATCTTTAACCCTTTCACTCCTACGGACGCAGGTAACAGGGAGCTATAATTACACTACCCTCAGCCGACTTTCATGTAGAAGCGATTTGCTGTGGCTCTAAAGCACCCCCCACATGTGTGTCTCCTCCTCCCCTGACTTTTCTTCCCCCTCCTGCAGGCCCAGGACTGCCATTGTGGGTGTTAGCAGGGAGAGAAGCAAACATCTGTTAGCTGGTCTCCTCCCTGCTGAATGAACATGGAAGCAACAATGATACATCACCTCCAGGTTCTGAGTTGTCATTTCCTGGCCAGAGAAGCTGGGGAAGAAGCTGATCAAGCATGATTTGTGCACGATCAGGTTCAATGGGCTGCAAAAGCAACATTCGGAAGTCTAATGGACTCTATCTTTAACCTCTTGCCGTCCGCCCGTTGTAAAAAAACGGACGGACGGCACTTCAGCATTGGCGGGTTGCCGTCTCCGGACGGCATTATTTTTCTGCCTGCGCGCACCCCCAAGGGCAGAAAAGACCCGATTGTTATCCCTCTATATAATAGCAATAACAATAAGTGCAAAAATATAAAAATAAATAAATAAAAGTAACATAAAAAAGTAAAATAAAATAAGTCACATAGGGGAAAAAAACAAAACGCAAAATGTTTAATTCCCCCACGTTTAATTGAATACTGAAAAATGGCCTGGATGGGAAGGGGGTTTAACACCGCGGATGTCAACTGGTTAAAGAAAGCCTGCCTCCAGTAACACACTCACAAGGGGGGGTCTCATTTGTGATAAATTAGTGTTAAAAAAAAAATAAAATAAAAAAAAAAGCAGGTGTTCTACTTTAAAAGGAAACGATAATGGTTTGGACAAAGCACTCCCCAAGCAGTGTTATCTCACACTTGGATATCTGCCATTTGGCTCCTGTTAACTGGAACACTGGACTCCCGACTCATTCACATGTCAATTACACCTTCACCTACTGGGCTCTAAACAAATGGCTTTTCAGAACAGCAACAAAGTTGCATACAAACATTTGTATACTTACGCCCAAAAATCTTCAACAGTGTCAAACTTTGAAATTAATCGAAGGTTGGCTTGCCAGGTTTTGCTTTTGTCATTTTTGAAGAACCACAAGGCCCATCTGCAACAAATATGGACCATGCTAAGTTTGATTATTCTGTAGACTACAAACAAAACACTATACATAAAGCTTACAAAAGGAAGCAGGAACAAACATCAATAAGCTCAAATTAAAAATGCTAAACATATTTTAGTGGTCTGGCAAATAGTTAAGAAACCCCCTCCAAAATTAGTATTTCTCTTTTGGATGGTTGCTAGCAAGCTAAAGTACCTTCTCGAAGACTTATTGCTCTCCTCTCTCTGAACACAGAACAAACTGGAGTAACCAGCCAAAAAATTAGGCACTTTGAAGATCAGAGGACACAATAGTTCAAGAAATTAGCTCACTTGCAGCCCAGCTATAACAACCTGCTGGTGATACAATCCACTCACTCATTTAAATTAAAGAATAAGTTCTGAGCAGCAATAAACTATAAATCATAACCCTACTCAGCATGGGTTTAAATGGAACTACAAACCCAATTCCAAAAAAGTTGGGACGCTGTGTAAAATCTACATGAAAACAGAACGCAATGATTTGCAAATCTCATAAACCCAGATTGTATTCACTACAGAAAATATATCTTATGTTAAGTGACATTAAATGATCTATTGCTTGATAGCAGTAGAGATATGCAAAAACCTTTGAGGGTTTAAATATCCTTTAAACTGACAAAAAAACTATCATGGAAAAAATAAGGTCATTTTGAAATTGATGGCAGCAACAAGTCTCAAAAATGTTGTGACAGGGCCATGTTTACCAGGGTGTTGCATCTCCTCTTTTAACACTCTGTATACGTCTGGAAACTGAGGAGACCAGTTGGAGAGGAATGTTGTCCCATTCTTTCCTGATATAGGATTCTAACTGTTCCGCAATCCTGGGTCTTTTGTCATTTTTAATTTCAAGATTCGCCAAATATTTGAAATTGATGAAAGGTCTGGACTGCAGGCAGGCCAGTTAAGCACCTGTACTATTCTACTATGAAGCCATGCTGTTGTCAAAGGTGCAGTATGTGGTTTAGCATTAACCTGCTGAAATATGCAAGGCCTTCCCTGAAAAAGACGTTGTCTGGATGGGAGCATATGCTGCTCTAAAACCTGGATATATCTTTCAGCATTGATGATGCCTTTCCAGATGTGCAAGCTGCCCATTCTATACACGCCAATGCACCCTCATACCATCAGAGATGCAGGTTTTTGAACTGAGCACTGATAAGTCAGAAGGTCTCCTCTTTAGTCCGGAGGACGCGGCGCCCATGGTTGCCAAAAAGAATGTTACATTTTGATTCCCCCGAGCACAGAACAGTTTTCCACTTGCAACAGACCATTTTAAGTAAGCTTTGGCCCACAAGACGGCAGTGTTTCTGGATCATGTTCAGATATGGCTTCTTCTTTGCATGATGAAGCTTTAACTTGCATTTTTGGATGGCACGGCGAACTGTGTTCACAGACAGTGATTTTTAAAAAAAGCCCATGCAGTGATGTCCATCACAGAATCATGACTGTTTTTATTGCAGTGCCGTCTGAGGACCCGAAGATCCAGTATTGTGTTCAGGCATTGCCCATGCACGCACAGAGATTTCTGCAGATTCTTGGAATCTTGATATTATATACTGTATAGATGATGATATATTTAAAGTCCAAGCAATCTTACATTGAGGAACATTATTCTGAAATTGTTCGACAATTATTAGACGCAGCTTTTCACAGATTGGTAAACCTCTGCCCATCTTTACTTCTGAGACACTGACTCTCTAAGATGCTCTTTTTATACCCGATCAGGTTACTGACCTGTACCACTCACTCTGCCAACTTTTTGTTAGCCCTGCCCCAACAACTTTTTTAAATTGTGTTGCTGCCATCAATTTCAAAATGACCTTATTTTCTTAAAATGGTATATTCTCAGTTTAACCGCTTCCTGTCCGGACGTGAGGTTCTAGAATGTAGGTGGGCATTTTAAAACGTCCTTGTGCCCACGTGAGTACGAGCGGGAAACAGTCATAATTTGAAAGCGAACAATGGCTGTCCACATATAACCGCTCGGATGGCTATAGAGCTGACGGATCGCTTGTATGCGGTGCCACTTGATGCAAAACCGATTGCACACGTTACGCCGCAAGTTACATATCACTGCGAACATGAGGGCCATCAATCACTGATCACACTAAACTGATGAGCGGTAAAAGCTTTTAAAGTGTCGCCTATGGTCACTTTTGGGTATGGTGGTTTATTGCGATTTCACAGGCGCTCGCAATTTTAAGGATTGACATGTTTGGTGACTGACGTGACCCCATCTTTTATATTTTATTAAAAAATTGCGTAATAATGAAGGTTTCATAACAATGTAGGAAAAACTGTATCAAAATTTTCAGTACCTTTTTCTTTATAGTAAAAAATTTAAACCACAGTGGTGATTAAAAAAAAAAAAAAAAAAAGCTCTATACGTCCCAGAAAAATATAAAATTACTTTCAGTACAGCATTGCATACTGAAAAATGGCCTGGACAGGAAGGGGTTTTAACATTTGACACGTTTTATCAATTTTACTGTGAATAAAATTTGGGTTTATGAGATTTTGCAAATCACCACAACTATAAAGAAAACAATAAAAGATGCAAACTAGCAATACGGACGGCTTAAATAGAGTGTGAAAGACATATTGCCATAGACAGTAAAAAAAAAAAAAAAAAATTTACCAATATATAAATAGTAAAAAGGGGAGAAAGGAGCAGATATGCCCAATTAAGGACGAAAGAGGGAATTTAGTCATAAATGACAAGGAGAGGGCCGAAGTACTAAACTCTTTCTTCTCCTCAGTATACACTCAGGAGGGAAACGGATTTGACGCCCCTGATAAAACACCTAGTTCATCACAAAACACAGCCAAGTGGTTGACAGAACCCGGGATACAACAAAGACTTAGTCTACTTAATGCAAATAAAGCATTGGGACCGGATAATCTACACCCCAAGATACTTGAGGAACTAAGCGCGGTTATAACAAGACCGTTATTCCTCATTTTTAAGGACTCCCGAATGACTGGTAGAGTTCCATGTAGGGCTGCAACAACTAATCGACATAATCGATTATCGAAAAAGTTGTCAACTTTTTCAATAATCGATTAATCGGCTTCTGATTGGTTGGCCCTGTTCACGGCTCCA